TTCCCCTTACTTTTTTTTTTAATTAATCCATTATCATAATTACCCTGCGAGAGTATTGATTAAAATGAAACATTAACACGCCTCTGTAATTACTTACAAGTACGTATAAATATTTATTAGAGTTTCGTTTTAATCAATTAAAAAAATGTGTCTTTAAAAATTAATAATAATAATAATAATAATAATAATAATAATAATTAACGTATATATATATAATATACATATAAAACTTAAATAAAAAAGTGTAACCGAATGTTAGTTAATCGTCGTCTTAATTATTTAAAAATTAATATCAATAAAAGCGGCAGTGACACACTTCTATTTCAAATTGAATATTCTTTAGAATTATCTTTCAAGAGAAGCAAGAAAAAAAAAAAAAGAAATATACGAAAAAGAGAGAGAGAGAGAGAGAAAGGGGTAGACTAACGAGAAAGAAACGTCGTACAAGACTCGTATAACTTCTTTTAATTATCTCAGGCCATAAGTTATAACCGGATTCGCGCTTTTTCGCGTTTTTATCGAAGCACTGCCTCGGATCTTCTTGGAGAGCGCAGAACTGAGAAGAATAGTGGCTGAGAGAGTAAAGAGAGTGAGAGAGAGAGGGAGAAATAGAGGGATAGTGGGAGAGGAAGGGTGAGAGGAAAAGGTGTAAGAGGAAGGGGTTGCTCGGTGTTGGAAAAGGGGTGGCAGAAGCGAACGTGTAGAAGAGGGAGGAACTCTGATATATAAACGTAGTATAGAGGCCATGTACAGGGTGGGGCACATTTAAAGTGTTACATGTTGATTTCTACGAAACCGATGTATTTAACGCGATAACTATTTCAATGTATAGAGATGAATTTGTAATTCTTATTTTTTCAATTTTTTTTTTCTTGATCACACAAATTTATGATACTTTTTTAAAAGGACGATAATCAAATGTATTATGATAGTTTTGTTCGAATTGATTTTTTTTCTTACAAGTTGATTACCATGAAACCGATGTGTATTTAAAGTAACGAATATTTAAATATGTGTTAAATATATTTTTTGTTTGTTTTAAATCAAATCAACAACGAAATGTATAAGATTTCTTTTTCTTTTTAAATATATATTATATTATATGTATATATATAAAGAAAAGAAGAAGGTAGGTATAGGTATATATTTTTGTTAAACCACGAATAAAAGATAAAACGCGTGTGTGCTCGTTCGATCGATGTCAAAGAGAAGAATTTCCCAAGAAAATACATTTTTCCTTTTCTCTTGGAAAATATTTCTTTTTGCCGACCCATTTAATCGGGACGAAAAAAAATATAACTATCTGAAAAGTCAGCTTGTAACGCTTAACGTAGTCTACGTATATACTGTATATGTATCATGTATATATTGTACAAAGGAAGATAGAGAAATGAAGGAAGAAAAAGAGATAATACAATATATTTTATTTATATATTATTTATTTATATATATATATATATATATATATACATTTTTTCATATAAAAAAATATATAACACCTACATAGATATATTTCTAAAAAATAAATAAAAATACATAATATACTACTTAAAATAAATCTACATAAATACACGTACACCAACACAAAACATATATGTATTAGATAAAAACTGAAATTAAAATACATACGCACACGCCCGCATACTAACACACACTACACTTGTGTATTTAAGAAACTAAATTCTAAATGCATGAATTTATATATATACAGTAATACCTTCGTATATTTATTCACATACCAATCAACACAAGTGTGTATCTAAGAAAACAAAATTTTAAATAAAAAAATGTATATATGTAAATATATAAACCATATATAAATATATATACATATATAAACTAATATACACCCATATACCAACCAACAAATATCTGTAACTAAAAAACAAAATTTTAAATA